AACGAGTTCTCTAAAATTTTGACGATATACTATCCTCCCACTGTAAAAGATAAAACAGAAATGTCTGGATGTGCTCTTTGCTAATTTTCCTCATATTTTTGTGATTTCTTATACAATGCGATTTAATCGCACCGCACCCTTTTTTCTCATAAACAGTTTACGCAACACATAATGTTGCGTAAACTGTTTATACTAAATTATAGTAAATGCAAACAAGCTAAAGCAAAAGGATTAAATTCAATTACTTTATAGAACTCAAAAGCCGTCCTTTGTAACTTTACAGAAAATATTGAAAATACAATATAACGATGAGATCATAGTTCTATTTCTTGTCACTTGCGCCTTCTTTTATGTAAGTGGTGAGATAATCAGTTTTCACTTGTCTTAGAACATGCTTGAATAACTAACCTTGTGACCAGACAACCTCTGGTATCACTGAGCACAGCTCCAGTAAGAGAAAACAGATCCGAGTGACAGACATGACTCAAAGTCATATAGACACCTGCTTTAGAGTTGTTAAAATGATTGCTTCCCAGTTAAGCTTAGCATGAGAGTAGCTTTAATTAACTTTCTGTTTTCTTTTCAGCCAATAGCAGTCGGGAGATGTTTCTGTTTACCTTTTATGGTGCAGTTCTGTTGAACCAGAATAAATGTGACGAACATTTAAATATTTGTTTTTAATATTAGCGCAATATAAGTTTTACATAATACCTCAGCGTTTAAACTCCTTTCTTTTGGCCAGTTTTTCTCATAAGAGGCTGTAGGTTTAAATCTATAACTGTTGCTAATTTAAACGTACCCACCGAAGTCGAACTTTTGCAACCTTGTGTTCATTAGGGGGTGATTTTGTATGTCTCTTAGGTGTTAAGTTACTTTAATAATGATAAAAAATTTTTGCGTAATTGAGTGTTCGTCCTTCGGGTCTATGAAAGCCTCCCCGCAGGGAGTTAATTTTAATATGAACGAACTTCCAGCATCTCGCTCCACGGGCGTAGCAGAAGATGGTGCACGCATGTTGGATCCATCTCGATTCATCTGTTAATCAAGCGCTCTTTCTGCTAAGAAAATGTTTCGGGTAGAATTAGGAGAGCGTAGAGAAAAGCGATTAAAGATAATCGTCGTTGGAAGCAAAGAGCCAGTCTTTCTCGAACACCATCCAGTTACCAGATCCCTCTAAGTTCCTCCAACTCGTCGGCAGGTTAGCGCCCAGTACTTTCGGCAACTTTCGCGGTTTAGGTCCCTGTCTAAAGATGAGTATGATATTTATTTCTTCTTCGCTTTGAATCTTTAACCACACCTTTACTAGCTTTGTTTTTTGCGTCGCATATATGGCGTTCACCACACAGGCGATATTCCAGTATTCTCCTCGATTTGTAGTAGCAGTCATATTACTTATTTGAGTATTTGAGAGCAGAAATTCTACCTCACAACACTTCAATATTCAGATTATTCATTGTCTGGTATCCTTGGTCTTCAACGTAGATACACAGTCATAACTTCAGCGCTTCCGAAGTCAGCTTGAGAAAGGAAAACAAAAAATATTTACTTAGTTCTTATTAACCGAGCGGGAGGTCTGTATGGGAGAATCTTGACCGAGGTCGCCAGTACAGACCGGACGCAGTGAAAAACAACGAGGACCCTATTGAACACCCTTTTTATGGATAAACAAAGGAAAGTGCTGAGTAATCCAAGAAAGGGTCGACTGGATCAGTTCAACCTTCGGCTATTACACCAAAAAAAAAAAGAGAAAAGTAATGTTATTCAGTGCTGCTTTACTGAAAACAATGAACGAATGGCAAGGAAACCATTCGATAGGGTTCCTTCAGAAAATCTCTTCGTATTTACCTGTTTTGATAGCAAACAAACAAAAGCATTAACAGAGATACTCCTAGATTTCTTATAGCAAAATTTTACCTTTGTTGTTATTCCATGTGATATTGAGAGTTTCCTTGCTGTACTGAATTCGCGGTGCAGAGTGTAATCTCTCCCAGTCACAGTAAGGTTCCGTGATCAAAAACCACCCAGCAACATTAGGGGTACTTTTTGTAGAAAGCTGTAATGAGAAAGTTGCGTGTCCCGTGATGGCCATTAATGCGAAAGGGATAAATGTTTACCGCGTTCTTAAGATCAGTCTATGGTGATTGAAGTAGTTTATGAAAACATTATTTGTTTAGAGAATTCATAACTCGGCTCTGGATTCAAACACCCGCCATTAATTAACAGTTCTCTTTGAGGCTGAAAAACGCGAATGCAAATGTTACTCACCGGCTGGAATTACCTGAATTTGTACCCAAAGTCAGCTTCAAAACTTTTTCTTTTCACCTTTTTTTCACAAAGATGATGTACATAGCATGTTATCTCAATTGTTTTTACAAGGCTTTCCTATGGTGCTGATCAAGTGGCTTTAAGTCCCGTAAAGTGGAATAATTACCACTTTGGTTGATTCCTTCATTTGTCTGTGCGAGTTGAATTTTTTACTGATAGTACGCCTCGTAAAACTATTCTCGGTGAATGACAAATAAAAGTTCATCATTAAAGTCATCATATAAGTATTTCAATGAGTAAATAAGGTGGTACACAAGGGGCCCACAAGTTCATCCTAAAAGTTCATCATAAAAGTCTTTCAATGGGTAAATAATGTGGTACACAAGGGGCCCACAAGTTCTCTAAACTTGTTACGATATACTATCCTCCCACTGTAAAAGATAAAAACAGAAATGTCTGGATGAACTCTTCGCTAATTTATCTCAAATTGTTGTGATTTCTTATACAGTGCGATCTAAGCGCACCACACCTCTCTTTCTCTTCAACAGTTTATGAAACACATCATCATGATGTCAAACAATAAACAGTAAAAAATGGGAACAAGCTAAAACAAAAGATTAAATTCAGTTTAATCAGAGAATTTAAAAGCCGTCATCTGTAGCTTTGCAAAGACAATAACGATAAGATCATAGCTATTTCCTATCGTTTGCGCCCCCTTTTATGTTAGTAGTGAAATAATCCATTTCTCAGATTTCATCTTATCATAGAGCGTACTTGAAAAACTAACCATGTGACCAGACAATCTCTGGTATCATTGAGCACAACTCCTGTAAGAGTAAACAGATCAAAGCGACAGACATAACTCAAAAGTCTTAGAAACATGCTTTGGAGTTATTAAAATGAAAGGAGATTGGGTTCACTTAACTTCCTGTTTACTTTTCAGCCAATAGCAGTCAGGAGTTTTGTTTATTTACCTTTTATGGTACAATTTTGTCTAACAAGAAGTCATACAGTTTTTCCGAAAGTAGCCGTGCTCGGCTACAGTTGATCAAGTTGTGAAGAAGGCTTGTCGCGAGAACTCTACATTAGTGCGGGCGGAAGGGAACCCAACTGCGACTTGATCATAAGTCACAAGTCCTCGATCTGAGTTGGATGACGCTTCAAACGACCTGAAAAGTAGTTCCTTGGAGAGAGCAAGACGTAACCTGGAAGAAGGTACTGCTTTAGTAGCGTAAAGAATAGAGGGCCTAAAGCTAGCTGCTGAGAACGGGTTTGGTTGGCTTACGATCAACGAACATCTATTGGACGAACTTGCGCCAAACTCTGGGGAAGAAAAGAAAATTTTTACTCGCAGAGAGGAGAGTGATTAAGGATAAGCGTTTTCAGAAGCCATGGGCCAATTCTTATCGAAGACCATTCAGTTACCAGTCAAGCACTTCGATCCCTCCAAGTTCCTGCAGTTCTTTGGCAAGTGCGTATGGATTTCGGCAACTTTTGAGTTTCAAGGCCCTGTTTGATGAGTATCATATTCATTCAGTTCGGTTTGGATCTTTGAACGCATCTTTCCTAGCTTCGTTTTTGACTTCGGGTATATGGCGTTTACCACACAGGCGATAGTCCAGTATTCTCCGTGATTTGTTGTAGGTCAGAGCAGAATTCATCATCAGAAATTGGGGGACATTTCGAGCCCGTTACGAAGTGTCAGCGATGTATCGTATCACAGACAATTCAATCTTTAATGATAACAATATCGTGAGGTACATCAGAAACTATTTACAAACTTTTTACAATTTATAAAAACATAAATAACGATAAAACTCGTGGTCAGAATTTAAGATAGTATTCCACCAAGTTCTAGAGCTTATAAAGGAAATTTTTGCATAAATAGTGTCTTGCAGAGCGCGCTTGAAAGATGCCAATGAGGCATTTTGCCTAAGTTCTTTATGCAAGTTAGTCCATATGTTGGCCCCTCTATAGGATAAAGTGCGCCAGCCAGTAGCCGTTCTGTACAGCGGAATCTGCAAAGAGTTCCGCGTAAGAGTGTTACGAGTATGTATATTTGATCACTTGGTAAGCTTACTCGTTAAGTATTGAAGCGCAAGACCGTTCTGACATTTAAAGATCAGACCGGAGTCTCTATAAAATAATTGTTCTTTAACAGGAAGCCAATTTAGCTCACGAAGCAAAGGTGTTACATGGTCGAACTTCCTAGAGTTTGTTACGATCTTACTGGCAAAATTTTGAATAGATTGTAATCTTTTTATATTGTGGAGTGTGGTATTTGACCATACAGATGAACAATAAAGCATCTTAC